CTAGTCCCAACGCCCGGCCAAATTCCACTTTGTTTTTCCCCTATTTCCCCCACCAGCTACAAGAGCGCTATTTGGAGGGAAGGTGCCTCAGACTATGTGGAACAATCACTCTCTGGGAACCAGGGGAAGCGCCCCTTAATTCATCCACAGGAACGTCAGACATTTGACCGGCCAAAGCACAAATTACTCTGGAACTCTTTTAGGCATGAACCACGTGTGCAGCCTGTCAAAATTTTACCCCAGTAGCGTGTTGTCAGTTATCCATGGATCCGGCCGCTATTTTGCCAACATCGGTGATCAGTTGAGAGCTATCCAGGGATATATAATGTGTGTGGTTCCTGTATACTTTTATGATGTTTTTGGGGTGTTTTTTTGTTGTGCAGTCTGGATCCAGGAGATAATTAGTTTAGTGAGCCTCAACTCAATTATCTCCCAGAATCAGAGACACCAGGGCGGGACTTTTCCCACCTGCAGCCTTTGCAAGCCCTTCCCTTCTAACTGTCCAATCACAGACTTCCCAATGCACCTCATTAAGAAGTGTTTACAAGGCAGGTGCTCTGGGCAATTGCCTGCCTCTTGAAATTAATGCCACTGAGGTAAAAAAAAAAAAAACCACAGGAATAAATAAAGCTCGTTTGTATACTTTTTCAGGCCATGTTTAGCTTTTTTTTGGCTGGAAGCACCACTTATCTGCTATTCGAAGATCTGACCTCATTTCTGTATTGTTTTTGCTTCCAATGAAAGATAGCGTAGTTTTCCTTTTATGAAACTAACCACTAGCTGGCAGTATTCTCCAGTTGGGATTTGTGTAAGAGCAACAGTCATTTTAAGACCTAGCAAACATTATTATTATTATTATTATTATTATTTTATTATTTATATAGCGTCCTCAGATTCCGTAGCCCTGTACAATGGGTGGACTAACAGACATGTAATTGTAACCAGACAACTGGACGTACAGGAACAGAGAGGTGGAGGGCCCTGCTCAATGAGCTTACATTCTAGAGGGGTGTGGTACTATTAACATGCATATAAATACCCACTCAAACTCACTCAAATAAACACAAATATGAAGAGCTGAAAACACATAATAGAAAAAAGGAAAAGTGTTTACAATCACAACGGGATCTCTAATTCACAGCATAAAAAATAAAAAAAATCATATTTTTAGGATGTGGTCACTTTAATTGTGCTATGTTCAGTATGTGAATGTATGAAATATGTAATATTAAGTTAATATCCACATATATTTATAGGCGTTTTTAATTACTATTATGTTGGTTCAATGCTCTTCCAGGGCAGACCATGCGCAAAGCTCTGCTGAAGAGCTCTAGCATGAGAAAAAGTTCCTGTATTTGTTCTGCAGAGTTCAAGCTAATTTAATAACATGCTTGCGCTGTGTTTGCTTGAAACTTGTCTCTGGTGTCTTTATAAATGGGATATTAGGAGACAAAAGGGCCACGAAAGAGTATTGTACATATGCTTGGAGCCTGATTGCGGGATTGTGTGTCTGTAGAGTGAGCTGATTGTGGTGTGGTATTGTGTAATAAGGTCGGTTTTAGTCGTGTTGTTTGTGGTGTAATGTAATGCATGTGTGACTAGGGGCTGTAGCAAGTGTGTGCATATGGGCTATAGTGTGTGTGTCTGTGTAGGTGATGTAGGTAGTGTTTGTAGGGGTTGTAGAGAGTGTGTGTTTAGGGAATGTAGTATGTGTTTGCTTACAAGGAATCTAGTGTGTGTATAGGTGATCCAGAGTGTGTATGTCAGGAATGTAGTGTGTGTGTAGGTGGTGCAGTGTGTGTGTCTGTGTATAGGGGTTTAGTGTGTTTTTGAAGGACCCAGAATGTGTATAGGAGATCTAGTGAGTATGTGTATATTATAGCGGATTCAAATTGTATATAGGGATCTAGTGCGTGTATGTGTGTAGATGATCCAAAGTTGGGTAAGGGATCTAGTGTGTGTCTGGAATGTAATGTGTTTAGGGGTGCAGTGTGCATGTAAGGGGTGCTGTAGTATACATATATGTATATGTGTGTGTGTGTGTGTGTGTGTATGTATGTATATATATATATATATATATATATAATGTTTGGATGTATTGTGTGTTTGTGAGTGGTGCAGTGTGTTGGGGGGCTTCTGTGTGTGAGGGGTGCAGTGTGTGTGTGTGTACGAGGGGTGCAGTGTGTGTGTGTGTGTACGAGGGGTGATGTGTGTGTGTGTGTGTGTGTGTGTGAGGATGCTCTGTGTGAGGGTCCTGTGTGTGTATGTGTGGGTAATGTGTGTGAGAGGGAGCTGTGTGTGTGTGTGTGTTTTTAGGATAATGTGTGTGTGTGTGTGAGGATGATGTTTGTGTGTGTGAGGGTAATGTGTGTGAGAGTAATGTGTGTGTGCGCGCGCGAGTGCTGTGTGTGTGTGTGTGTGAGAGGGAGCTGTGTGTGTGAGAGGGAACTGTGTGTGTGTCAGGATAGTGTGTGTGTGTGTGTCAGGGTAATGCGTGTGTGAGAGTGCTGTGTGGGTGAGGGTAATGTGTGTGAGAGTGCTGTGTGTGTGTGTGGGTGATGTGATGTGTGTGTGTGGGTAATGTGTGTGTGTGTGTGTGTGTGTGTGTGAGGGTGATGTGGTGTGTTTGAGGGTAATGTGTGGGTATATATGTTAGGAGAGATTTAAATAAAAAACTAAACAAAAAAAACAGGCATTGTATTAACCCCCCCTCCCTTAGGCCTGCGAGGCTAGAGTTCACTCTTGCGAGATCAGGGCATTGCCATGGCAACACTTCGAATCTCACAAGAGGAACCCGGCGGAGCTGCAAGATAGATCTCCTCTGGGTCCTCTCCTGTCTCCTTCCCCAGCCGGCGGTCACATTACACTGACTGTGTGCCGGTAACTGTGATCTTGCCACTGGCCCGTCAGATAGCGCAGGCCCTGCATAGACCGGCAGGGGAGATCCTGTGACCTTCCCTGCCGGCCTTGGACCATCGCAGCCCACCGGGAATTAGACGGATGGCCAGTCTGTGCCTGCTGGATATGGTTACTGCAGAGACATGCTGCTCAGGGGCAGATAGAGAAAAAGACTGAGGAAACACAAAAGTGGGTAGCGTGATGGGAAGAGGTTAATAAATGGTATATTGAGGCAGAGGCACAATTGGGGGGATGAAGAGAGAACAAGTGGAGTGACTGTGAGAAATTAAGAAATTGCAAACACAGGTGTTTATGGGGTAAAGACTCAAATTCCATATATATTTAAAATGACTGAAACTGCTCTAAACACTGATATGAAGTACCATAACAGCTCTCAGGTTCACATATCCCAGGTTCACAGCTTATGTTTTGCTTCAGGCAGAGCCACTGTCCACGGCTCTCACACCTGGTACAAGAGAAAGCACTGTGTAAGCTTTGTATGCCCCAGTCTGACACCATATATTGAACTTGCACTGACAATCCACATAAATAAACACTGCATTTGAGTAAAACAAATACACTAATACATGGACACAAACAATGAGACAGATCACACATGCCCTTGTGTGCACACACACCATGGAAATCTAGCACATGTTCATCCACAGACTCTCCATATCAGCATTTAACCCCTTAAGGAGGGAGCCAAATGTACACGTTGTAAACAAAACCTGACATTTGCGCTACATGTCTGTCCAACCGTAATACACCTCTTTCATAGTAAATGCATCCACCCTTATTATATATCATTTTATTCAGGGGAAACAGGGCTTTCATTTAATATAAAAAATTTAGCTATTAAACATAATTGAATATTAAAAAAATGGGAGAAAATAAGATTTTTGTTGGGATTTATTTTAGTTCTACATGCCATTTTAACTGTCAATGTCATAATACTGTTTGCTTTTACTGCAGTAAAATACACAGATTTGTATTCAGCAAAGTCTAACGTGTAAAACAGTACCCCCTATGTACAGGTTTTATGGCGTTTTGGGAAGTTACAGGGTCAAATATAGCACGTTACATTTGAAATTGAAATTTTCCAGATTGGTTACATTGCCTTTGGGACTTTATAGTAGCCCAGGAAAGAAATTTACACCCATAATGGCATATCATTTGCAATAGTAGTCAACCCAAGGTATTGCAAATGGGGTATGGACAGTCTTTTTTAGTAGCCATTTGGTCACAAACACTGGCCAAAGTTATTGTTAGTATTTGTTTGTGTATGAAAAATGCAAAAAAAACGCCAATTTTGGCCAGTGTTTGTGACTAAGTGGCTACTAAAAAAGACTGGACATACCCCGTTTGCAATACCTTGGGTTTTCTACTATTGCAAATGCCATCATAGGGGTAATTTTCATTCTTGGGCTACCATAGGGTCTCAAAGGCAACGTAACCAATCTGGCGAATTTTAATGTGAAAAAAATGAAACACAAGCCTTATATTTTACGCTGTAACTTTTGAAAACCCCATAAAACCTGTACATGAGGGGTACTGTTGTACTCGGGAGACTTCGCTGAACACAAATATTTGTGTTTCAAAACAGTAAAAAGTATCGCAGTAATAATATTGTCCGTGTAAGTGCTGTTTGTGTGTGATAAATGCAAAAAACGTCACTTTTACTGGCGATATCATCGTTGTAATACATTTTACTGTTTTGAAAAACTGTGTTCAGCGAAGTCTCCCGAGTAGAACAGTACCCCCCATGTACAGGTTTTATGGTGTCTTGGAAAGTTATAGGTTTAAATATAGTGCTAGCAAATTAAATTCCCTTTACTTTCGGCATGGGTTGTCAGGCAGGTCCCGCTAATTGTAATTAATTAAGATACCTAATTATGTAAAAATATTATATAAATATATATGTAGAATTAATATATGTGTGTGTGTATATATATATATATATATATATATATAATCCTGGAAAATCCCGCACTCAATTTGCCGGTCTTGTACTTGCCTCGGTGCTACCTCAGCCGTAATGAATATCGAAGAAAAACGAGTGCACTCCAGAGGTCTTCTTTTTAGAAAAATGACATTAAATTTATTGCAAAAACGTGTAGTAATACAACATGATCTAGTCGACGTTTCAGTCCACGAAGGACTTTTATCAAGACAATCTTGTCGTCTTGATAAAAGTCCTTCGTGGACTGAAACGTCGACTAGATCATGTTGTATTACTACACGTTTTTGCAATAAATTTAATGTCATTTTTCTAAAAAGAAGACCTCTGGAGTGCACTCGTTTTTCTTCGATATATATATATATATATATATATTTATGTGAATAGATATGTATGTATATATATATATATATATATATATATAATTTTTTAAAAATATTTTTATTTATATATAGGTATATATATATAATGATATATACGTATATAGATATATATATATATATATAATTTCGTTCTACGTGTATTTTGATATAAATATATATATATATATTAATATCACAATACAGTTAGAACGAAATAACACACATCTATATATTTTTTACTTTTTTTAAAATTATTTTTGTAATTTTATTTTTTAACGTATTTACATATTTCATTTTTTTATATTATATATATTTAATCAGTATCAGTCTACGTGTAATTTGATATTTATGTGTGTGTGTATGTATATGTGTATATATATACTTAGATCATATATATATATGTATGTGGCGGAACCCGCCTCGCCACCTGGCATTGGAGAGGCCTGGCTGCCCGCCTCCTTCCTGCTGACTATGGCCCCTGGTAAAGTTGTACTTTTGAATGCAATATTTGGGCATATTGTATTTTATTGTGCGGCTACTGGCTCTGTAAGCACAGTGAATGGACTTACTGAAACTTTTTGGACACTTCCTCTTCCCCTCCCCCGGATCCATTGTTCTCTAGCAGGGTGTTGTCCCAGGGACACTGCCAAACCAGTGGGAACTGGTTTGCCAGGAAAAATCATGCTTGCAAGTAAAAACAAAGGACTTCGACCTAACCGTTAAACCCCTGAACCTATTCAAGTGAATTTTGGATATGTTTGTCCCCAAGTTATACTGGTTAAGATAATATAAGTTTTATGTATGTGCGATGTTAACTCACAAAGTTATAAAAATGTACAAAAAGTAACTTTTCAGCTTGGAGATAATTGAGTAGATACAGTAATTGACTCAATTATCTCCTAAGCAGAGGGGAGGAATATGCTGGGTGTATTTCTATTTTCCCATTGTGTCTGATTGGCTGCTGTACTTGCATTGTATGTGTTGTAATGTGTTTATTGGTGGTTCTGCAAAACCCTGTGGGCAGTACTATGTTTTGTGGATTGTAATAAAAACCAGGCTGGGTGTGCCAGCACTGGAGTTCCTGTTTTAACCCTCAAAGTGAAGTGTCGTCTCATTATTGGGGGAAGGATTTATTGTATGCTGTTCCAGTTTGACTGCTAGGAGAGTAAACCTATTCGTATGGTTCCTATTCAACTGTCTACAGCATTCATATGCTTGAGAGGATTCATATGCTTCTCCGGTTCGGTGGTTGTGGTGTCTGCTGCAGTGCTTGGAGTCCTCAGGAAGCGCTAGGAGCATCCTTCAACGGAGGTACCCAGTCGGGGTGCCAGGCGATCCGTTACAATGTATATATATAAAATATATATATATATATATAAATATGAAACAAGGGGGGGTTGGCTGCACTCACCTGAACATGCATAAATGGGGGTGCTGCTGGGGGCCAAATAATACAAAACACAAGATCCAGCGCACTCACCTATCCACTAAACAGCAACTTCAATGTTGAAAGATTTTATTAGTTTTTTTAAAAACACCTAATCTAGGCAAAAATAATGGGGGTTTAGTTACATTATATGATCATACATTGCATAAGCCTGCCACAACGTCAATGTACCCCATCTTTGGCAGGTCCTACACTAACAGCCTAATGTCTGCTCTTATGAGATTAACCTACTTGGGGAAAAAAATTCCATCTGGGGCTCTCTGCAGTACAAGGCTAAATAGGGCCCTGGGATGAGGCACCTGTGACAGGGAGGGGTGCAAAACCAAGGAGTTGGCTAGACTCCCAAATATATAAATATGAAACAAGGGGGGGTTGGCTGCACTCACCTGAACATGCATAAATGGGGGTGCTGCTGGGGGCCAAATAATACAAAACACAAGATCCAGCGCACTCACCTATCCACTAAACAGCAACTTCAATGTTGAAAGATTTTATTTGTTTTTTTAAAAACACCTAATCTAGGCAAAAATAATGGGGGTTTAGTTACATTATATGATCATACATTGCATAAGCCTGCCACAACGTCAATGTACCCCATCTTTGGCAGGTCCTACACTAATAGCCTAATGTCTGCTCTTATGAGATTAACCACTTACTTGAGGAAAAAAATTCCATCTGGGGCTCTCTGCAGTACAAGGCTAAATAGGGCCCTGGGATGAGGCACCTGTGACAGGGAGGGGTGCAAAACCACGGAGTTGGCTAGACTCCCAAATATATACACCCTGTTCCAAATTATTATGCAAATTATATTTTTCTCATTTACCTAAATAATTGATGTAAATAACAGTCAGCATAATTCTCATGTTATCAACTATTAAGAGTACAATTCAAATTTTATTGAACAAACCTCCAATTGATAACATTATTTTTTTTAAATAAAAAACTTTCAATGCACTGTTCCAAATTATAATGCACAGTAAGTTTCAAAACACATGTTCAGGTGAGTGCAGCCAACCCCCCCTTGTTTCATATTTATATATTTGGGAGTCTAGCCAACTCCTTGGTTTTGCACCCCTCCCTGTCACAGGTGCCTCATCCCAGGGCCCTATTTAGCCTTGTACTGCAGAGAGCCCCAGATGAAATTTTTTTCCTCAAGTAAGTGGTTAATCTCATAAGAGCAGACATTAGGCTATTAGTGTAGGACCTGCCAAAGATGGGGTACATTGACGTTGTGGCAGGCTTATGCAATGTATGATCATATAATGTAACTAAACCCCCATTATTTTTGCCTAGATTAGGTGTTTTAAAAAAAACGAATAAAATCTTTCAACATTGAAGTTGCCGTTTAGTGGATAGGTGAGTGCGCTGGATCTTGTGTTTTGTATTATTTGGCCCCCAGCAGCACCCCCATTTATGCATGTTCAGGTGAGTGCAGCCAACCCCCCCCTTGTTTCATATTTATATATTTGGGAGTCTAGCCAACTCCTTGGTTTTGCACCCCTCCCTGTCACAGGTGCCTCATCCCAGGGCCCTATTTAGCCGTGTACTGCAGAGAGCCCCAGATGGAATTTTTTCCCTCAAGTAAGTGATTAATCTCATAAGAGCAGACATTAGGCTATTAGTGTAGGACCTGCCAAAGATGGGGTACATTGACGTTGTGGCAGGCTTATGCAATGTATGATCATATAATGTAACTAAACCCCCATTATTTTTGCCTAGATTAGGTGTTTTTAAAAAAACGAATAAAATCTTTCAACATTGAAGTTGCCGTTTAGTGGATAGGTGAGTGCGCTGGATCTTGTGTTTTTTAAAATATATATATATATATATATATATATATATATATATATATATATATATATTTTTTTTTTACACTTATGAAACTTTTCTTAATTTTATTTCCAGCCAGCAGGGGGACCACCTGTCATTACAGGCAGCCCCCCTGCTGGCAATGCAGCAGGCAGCCAGTCCTGCCATGTGATTGTGAGGTCCTCGCAAGGACCTCACTCTCACATGGCCGGGGGGGGCTGCCAGGGGGTCGGAAGTGCCGCGGGGGGCTCCCTGGGAGTCTCCCCAACCGCGATCGCCGGTGTGGGATCGCCGGCGACCGGGTAAGTATAGAAAGACCGGAGGGCGTTCTATTGCACCCGGCGGCGTTTAGTGCCACCTAAAATAGGACGTAATAGTACGCCCTCTGGTCTTAAGGGGTTAAACACATACACACCCGACATTTAAAAACACAAGTCCTTCACTCAACTTCCCCTCCTGAATTTATACACACACACCCAAACAAATACACTGCACTCACTGATATTCACTGCAAATACTCTAAACTCTGAATTGTAGCAAATAAAAATTTGAATTGCAAAATTTAGGCAGTATGATTTACTGTTATAGCTTGGAAATTATTGCCTTCATTTTGTGTATTTGATTTTCATCTGCTACAGTTAAGTTAATATACCCCATATATATTAACTACAATCTCACAAATAGAACAATGCATTCAAAACTTACATAATATGCAAATAAATAAACATAGAAACATTATTTAACTTTTTGCTCAAGTAAAAAAAATATATATTTTGTAATCTTGTAATCTTCCCCTAAGCCCTTTAATAAATCACCACATCCCCTAATCCACTCTCGTCTGCCCTTACAAATCCTAACACCCCATCCCCCCACACAAGAGGTTCTAACCCCTACTATAGTCCCTTACCCTCACTTTTGCCTCTCACCACCAACTACAGGTCCTGACCCAGCACTATTGTCCCTAACCACCCACTCCAGCCACTAATATCTCACTACAGCCCCTAAACCCTCACTACTCCCTCTGTTCCTCCACCTACAGGTCCTGACACCCTACTACAGGTCCCGAACACCCCACTGCCCTTCACTCCCCACTAGAGTTCCGGACATCTCATTGCTCTTCAAGCCCCACTAGAAGTCCTGACCTCCCCATGACAGCTTCTAATCTCCCACTTCAGCCTCTATCACCCCACTACAGCCCCTATTCCATCACTACAGTCACTCCCTGACTGCTGCGTTTAAACCCTCAATACAGCACCAACCCTCCACGCCTGCCCCCAACCCCCAGCTATATTGGGCTAAAGAGGAGCTAACGTGAATCTCCTTTCCCAATTTGTACTGAATGCAAATCCCACTACTTCTCACTTGTATTTTTTCCACATCACACATTGCCACACACAATCAGGGCCGGTGCAAGGATTTTTGCCGCCCTAAGCAAACAAAAATTTGCCGCCCCCTTATATGCTCTGCCCACCATGTGTCATCACAATACTCCACCCATATGATCTGCCATATGAGCCAATGCCACTGCTGCACATAGTGTCTTTTTCTCTGCAAAGGCAGTGTGTTTACATTAAAAAGCCTGCAGGGACAGGCTACAGACACCAGAACCACTACATGTCAACAAGGAGCTGGAACGGGCAGAAAGAAGCAGGAAGGGGCAGCAAGAAGGAGGAAGG